CAGGCGCAGGGCTCAGGGCAGATCCCCTACCGCAGATTCGCCCCACCCTTGCGCCACCCCTTCCCCAAACCTTGCCCCTGCTTTGCCCCACCATGCTGCCCTCCCAGCCCGCTGCACCCCGCTTCTCAATGGGTGGGCGTACCGGAAAGGCTGCCTGACAGCTGGATCCCAGTGCCATGGTGAGTGTGCCCTGTTGCCGCCCCACGCCAGGCCCCGTAATCCCCCAGGTCCCTCGGTGACCCCAAAGTGCGGGGCCCATGGCGGTCTCTGATTGCTCCCCTCTTAAACACACCCTCCCCTCTTGCACACTCACCTTCCTCCTTCTGCCCCGTGTGTTAGGTCCCCGTTCTGTTGCACAGCGATTCTCCGTTTGCACACTCACCCCAGTGGTGTCAGTGTTCTCCCCTTGCACAAGGGCTCTCGTTTTGCACCCTCCCTCCCTCTCCAGCACCGTGTCCATCCCTGGGTAATAACCCATCCGTGCTCTCTTCCCTCCCAGGCACCACGGAGCGGGTGTGCCTCGTGCAGGGCACGGCCGAGGCCCTCAACGCCGTCCACAACTTCATCGCGGAGAAGGTGCGCGAGATCCCCCAGTCCGTGGTGAAGCCGGAGTCTGTTAACATCCTGCAGCCGCAGACCACCATGAACCCGGACCGTGCCAAGCAGGTGAGACCTGGTGGAGGGAGACCCTCCCCCTGGGAGTATCCATGCCTCTGGGGTGGGGGCCGGCTGGAATTGGACAGACCCTGCGATTGTCCTGAGCTGTGCAGTGCCCAACCGACACTGCCCAGTGTCGCAAATCAGGGGCTGTGTGTGTGGCACGTGCTGCCGGGCAGGGGGAGAAGTACACACTCTTCAGCACTGCCACGGTCAGGTGCAGAGGCGGTAACGCACCCACTCTCCCTTAGCAACCATGGCCTTGTGGTGTCTGTGACACTGTAGCATGGGGAGTAACGGTAGTTCGGAGGAGTAACGGTAGTTCGAATTAGAGAGCCTAATCCGAACTACCTACTCCATGCCGCGTGTAGCTGCGGGCACGGAGTCTGAACTACCGGGGCTTTAAAAATGGCGGCGCCCGGCAAGATGCAAATGAAGCCCGGGATATTTAAATCCCAGGCTTCATTTGCAACTTCGGTTGCCTACATTAACCACCCTAGTTCGAACTAGGGTGGTAGTGTAGACATACCCTCAGTGAGTTGGTTGCATCTCCTTTCTGAGTGGGGAATTTGCTGCAGGCTGGGGTAACCCGGGACCGTGGGTCTGGAGTGGGGGGCGTGGGCAGAGCTGGGAGGAGACCAGGGCTGGGCTAGTGGGGGGCTGCGAGTCTGGGGGAAAGGCCTGGAGGGAACGACACCCCCCCACCCGGGCAATGAGAAGCGCTGGCAGAGCTGCAGGCATGGAGGAGGCTGGGGCCGGGGTCGTGGGTCAGGATCGGATCCAGGGATCTGGTTTAGTGTCACAAAGGCCCCAGTACAAACTCTCCCCAAGCCCTTCCCCCTCCCTCAGGTTCACGGGCACGTGTGACATCATCCGGTGCAAGGATGAGCCACATCCAGGCTGGGACCCGGGTGGTGGCCTTGGCGCAGATGCCAGGGTCCCCTCGGGACAGTGCTTGTCACTCCCAGGAAGAAAGGGAGCAGAGATGGCGTCATGTCTCATTAGGCATCATACAGAACCCTCCCTGTCCATCCCCATGGGGTCAGGGTGGGAACCTTGTGTTACTTGGGGGGGGAGGAGGAGGGGAATCCTCCCCCTCCAGGCCATTTCCCCGTAGGGTGTTGTTCCCTCGACAGAATTCTCCTGTTTCCCCAGCTACAGAAGCCCAGCCCCTGGGTCTATAGGACTGTCAGGTTTCTAGGGGTTAAGGACCGGGGCTGGGAGCCAAGGACACCTGAGTTCGTTCCCCAGCTCGGAGAGAGAGGAAGGGTCCCACAGGTTAGAGCAGTGGGGCTGGGGGCCACAACACCGGGGTTCTCTGGGCATTAATTCTCCTCTCCCGGGGGAAGGAGTTTGGCACCCCCGTGTCCTCGCTCCCCATAGTTCTTGCAGGATGCCAGCCCCACCAGATCTCTTTGCCCCCTTTCTCACATCTGCATCCTGTTCTCCAGCTCTGCCCCCCATCTCCTCCCACAGCCCAGCTCAACCCACGCAGTCCCTTGGCAGGGAGGAAGCGACAGCGGCACCTGCCTCCCCTCTCCAGGCCTGGCTGCTTCAAAGGCAACAAGGACTCACTTGACTTTCCCACTCCTGTCAATGGAACAGGGTGGGAATGAGTCCAGACACTCCCCTGCCTGGCTCCTGCCCTGCTCCCCACAGCACACCCTGCTGGGACAGGCTCCCTGCACAGCCAGATCCTGCCTTGCTCCCCACAGCGCCCCCTGCTGGGACAGGCTCCCTGCACAGCCAGATCCTGCCTTGCTCCCCACAGCGCCCCCTGCTGGGACAGGCTCCCTGCACAGCCAGATCCTGCCTTGCTCCCCACAGCGCCCCCTGCTGGGACAGGCTCCCTGCACAGCCAGATCCTGCCTTGCTCCCCACAGCGCCCCCTGCTGGGACAGGCTCCCTGCACAGCCAGATCCTGCCTTGCTCCCCACAGCGCCCCCTGCTGGGACAGGCTCCCTGCACAGCCAGATCCTGCCTTGCTCCCCACAGCGCCCCCTGCTGGGACAGGCTCCCTGCACAGCCAGATCCTGCCTTGCTCCCCACAGCGCCCCCTGCTGGGACAGGCTCCCTGCACAGCCAGATCCTGCCTTGCTCCCCACAGCGCCCCCTGCTGGGACAGGCTCCCTGCACAGCCAGATCCTGCCTTGCTCCCCACAGCGCCCCCTGCTGGGACAGGCTCCCTGCACAGCCAGATCCTGCCTTGCTCCCCACAGCGCCCCCTGCTGGGACAGGCTCCCTGCACAGCCAGATCCTGCCTTGCTCCCCACAGCGCCCCCTGCTGGGACAGGCTCCCTGCACAGCCAGATCCTGCCTTGCTCCCCACAGCGCCCCCTGCTGGGACAGGCTCCCTGCACAGCCAGATCCTGCCTTGCTCCCCACAGCGCCCCCTGCTGGGACAGGCTCCCTGCACAGCCAGATCCTGCCTTGCTCCCCACAGCGCCCCCTGCTGGGACAGGCTCCCTGCACAGCCAGATCCTGCCTTGCTCCCCACAGCGCCCCCTGCTGGGACAGGCTCCCTGCACAGCCAGATCCTGCCTTGCTCCCCACAGCGCCCCCTGCTGGGACAAGCTCCCTGCACAGCCAGATCCTGCCTTGCTCCCCACAGCGCCCCCTGCTGGGACAAGCTCCCTGCACAGCCAGATCCTGCCTTGCTCCCCACAGCGCCCCCTGCTGGGACCGGCTCCCCACCCCGCCACTA